GAGGCTCTTGCAGTAGTCCAGTCCGGAGACAGCAGGGGCTTGGCCCAGACTGGAAGCATCAGTGTGGAGACTAATGCATGGATTCACATGATATTTGTGAAGTGGAAAGAGACAGCACTTGCGGGTGGATTAGAGGCAATCAGGGAACAAACTTAAGAAACGCATGATTACTACAAGAGTGTTTTCTTGCACGTCTTCATCAGAGGTCTATGTACGGTCATAGGAAAGACAGAGAGTAGGCGTGGTAGATTTGGAGACGGGAGAAAGACAGATGGGGGTGTGTAAGAGCTCCTATTTGCACATGTTTAGTTACCGAAGTTTACTTGTCATCCATAGGGGCTGGAGAAACAGAATTGTTGAGACAACAGGACACAGTTAGGATTTAAAGCCACAAAACTGGACAGGCTCACCTAGAGAGAGTATAGCCAGGAGAAGAAGGTGCAGGGCTACTCCCTGAGATACTCTGACATTTAGAAGTTGGGTTGAGGAGCACAAGCCAGCAAAAGAGATTCAGAAGGACTGGACAGTGAACAGGACTTCTCTCTAAGGCCTCGCATGTCCAAACATGTCCAAACTTCTCACCAAGGCTTTTCACCACCAGCCTCAATGTCCTCACTCAGACTCTGCTCTCAATGCTCCTAGCCATACATGCACGGGAGTTGGCTTAAAATGGGACAACGACGACTTTGTGTGCGCGGGTCGGACTTCACTGTCTGATCATTTCTCAGTGGAGCTTTCAAAAGAGAGAGAGGTTCAGATGCAGAGAACTTCAAAGAGTGGGGTAGGCACTGCTCTGCTATTTCATGTGGCCCATCTCCTTCTTCCTTTCAGGAGGGGGAAATCAGAAGGAGCGGGGATGCAGTTCAGAGAGCAGAAGGGAAGAGAAGAAGGAAGAAGGAAGAGGACTGGAGCGAGGAGGGACGCCCATGGGAAGAGGGACAGATCAACTCTATACACAAAAGTAAATCAAAACACCCAAAACAGGGTTCTACGTAAAGAAGCCTCTTTCCATGAATTGCTTGATGCATAGCTGCAGGGAGGGTGTTTAGGGGAATAGAGAATGAAAACATAACTGTATTTTGGAGTAGGGAAGTTGTTTCTGTCAATTCACACCGTCCACACACAGCACCCCACCCCTGCCACTACCAAATTCCTCTAAATAAAAATAATTATGGGATACAGGCCAACAAAAAAGTCAGCCTTAGGCTCTTATTTAGGGAGAACTCGAAGGTGTTTGGATGTGCCCCTGTGGCTTAATAAATAATAACAATGATTGCTTAAGTTGTCCTGAGTCAATACAACAAATTTAGCAAACGGCCCTTTGGATCCTTATAAAGTGAAGAGTTGACAGAGACGGATTTGTGTATGGGGCAGGGATGGATTGGGTAGTCAGTCCTATAGAAATGAGAACCCCAGGAGATGAGGACATATGTACAAGTATGTTTAACACGGAAGCATTCATATTGGGCAAACTAGGGCACAAAGCAAATATGCATCAGTTGAGGAGTGACTGATATGCTGGCGGTGCAGCCATTCTGAGGATCATTATGCAACCATTAACAAGTATGAGTTTTTTCTATATAAGCTGATTTAAGGGGATTTCCAAGATGTGCTCTTACCAGGCCAGAAGAGCAGGTTTGTTGTTGTCGTTTTGGTGCAAACAAAAGGAGACGGATCTTGGAGTCAGATTGGCTCTTAGGCTGAATTTCAGAGCAAGACACTTAGCCACTCTGAGCCTCAGTGTGCTCTCAGAGTTTGAATTTCAGAAACCCTAATTAAGCATCTTACAAATTCCCTTTGTAACAAGTAGATTTTCCCTAGCTCTGCTTAGAAACCAAGCAAAAGGGCTGTATTGACTGATGGTTTTCACATAGCCTTCCAGATATTTTTCTCTCTAAGAACCAATTCACCTTCTAATACATGCTTAAAGCTTTAACTATTGTCCTTCTTTGCTCTAATTTTCGGCAGTTGACAGAACTGATTTTATAACAATATACCTAGAGCTACACCCCCGGCCATGACTTAATAGTTGTGCTTACTTTGGTCAAGTTACTTTACCCCTTTTTTTCCTCCATCTTAGCTTTGGAGTGCTCATCTGTACAAAGGGATATTTAAAAGGATAAAAAGTGATAATGCATGGTAAATGTTTTTCACAGCGCCTGGCATATATTCAGTGCCCAATACAAGAAACTCATTAGTCTTACTTCCCTCTGTCCTGGGGATGTGCTTGTCCCGCTGGTTTTTGGTTTTTGAAGGTCCAATGTCTTTTCTTTCTGGTGCTCCAGGCAGCCTGGAATTTTCTCTCTAACCAGGAGCAAAGTGTCAGTACAGAGGGAGTCTGATCCTCTGGGCTGCATCCCAGGGTATAGCTCGATTTTACTCCAGGCAACTGCCTGATTCTCTGGCCTGAACTCGCTTAGCTCACACCCTCATGGAGCTTTTCTGTACTCGTCCCAATCATAGGACCTTTTCATGACCCACTTATTTATTTTCTGGAGGCCCAGGGCCTCGCACATTAATTAACACATGAAAGCATGGCATTTTCTGTACTCAAGGAAACCACCCAGAAGATTTAGGAACACTATCTCAACAAAATGCGGTATTGAGTCAGGAGAGAATTTTCTGTCAACTGCCATTCATCCTTTTGAGTAACCTTTTGGGGGCCATTTGGGGAGATAATTTACTGTAAGGTAATACGCTCCTTCAGCTTCTTTGCTGCAGGCTACTGAACACATTCTGAAGTCTCCGTGATGTCTCTGGAACAATATTACCAACATTCACCATTGTGATGTGATGCATTCATGGATTACTGAGGCATGAGTTGGCTGATCTCCCGTACCATGAGTTGCTGATCAATTTTAGGTTTTCACTTTGTTTAGTAGATGTAAAATGAAATCACCTTCAATGTGGTAAAATCTTCCTAAAGTCAAGGTGATTAACCTTGGGACTTCCGCCCATACACATTAATCTTTTTAAAACTGTCTCCAAATAATTGTTCCTAATGAAAAAACTATATGCACATGATAAATATAATAGTGATGATCAGAAACTACAAAAGAGCTTATCATTAAAAGCAGAGGTTTGAGGTCCCATCACTTTCTACTCCACAGCTGTGCTTCTCAGAGTAGACCACTTTAATAATTTCTGTTTGTCTTGTTCTGGCCATTACCTCCTTATATCTAAATAAAATGCCTAATCTGCTAATTCAATAATTGATCAACTTCAGACATCATCAAGAGACCACACTCTACCAGAGAGGAGGATTTAACTCACTCACACTATCTTCAATCTGCCCTTTGCTTGCTTGCTTGCTTGCTTCCTTCCTTCCTTCCTTCCTTCCTTCCTTTCTTGCTTTTTGCTTGCTTGCTTGCTTGCTTTCCTTTTTTTACTTTCTTTTTTTTCTTCCTTTTGTATTATACTTTAAGTTCTGGGGTACATGTGCAAAATGTGCAGATTTGTTATATAGGTATATAAGTGCCATGGTGGTTAGCTGCATCCACCACCCTGTCATCTACATTGGGTGTTTCTCCTAATGCTATCCCTCCCCTAGCCCCCCACCCCTGACAGGCCCCACTGTGTGATATTCCCCTCTCTGTGTCCATGTGTTCTCATTGTTCACTTCCCACTTATGAGTGAGAACATGCTGTGTTTGGTTTTCTGTTCTTGTGATAGTTTGCTGAGAATGGTGGTTTCCAACTTCATCCATGTCCCTGCGAAGGACATGAACTCGTCATTTTTTATGGCCGCATAGTAGTCCATGGTGTATATGTGCCACATTTTCTTTATCCAGTCTATTATTGATGGGTATTTGGGTTGGTTCCAAGTCTTTGCTATTGTGAACAGTGCTGCAATAAACACACGTGTGTGTGTGTGTCATTACAATAGAACAATTTATAAACCTTTGAGTATATACCCAGTAACGGGATTGCTGGGTCAAGTGGTATTTCTAGTTCTAGATCCTTGAGGAATCACCACACTGTCTTCCACAATGGTTGGACTAATAATTTACACTCCCACCAACGGTGTAAAAGTGTTGCTGTTTCTCCACATCCTCTCCAGCATCTGTTGTCTCCTGGCTTTTTGATGATCACCATTCTGACTGGTGTGAGATAGTATCTCATTGTGGTTTTGATTTTCATTTCTGTAATGACCAGTGATGATGAGCTTTTTATCCTATGTTTGTTGGCTGCATAAATGTCTCCTTTTCGGAAGTGTCTGTTCATATCCTTTGCCCACTTTTTGATGGGGTTCTTTGCTTTATACTTGTAAATTTAAGTTCTTTGTAGATACTGGATATTGGCCCTTTGTCGGATAGAGAGATTGCAAAAATTTTCTCCCATTCTGTAGGTTGCCTGTTCACTCTGATAGTTTCTTTTGCTGTGCAGAAGCTCTTTAGTGTAATTAGATCCCATTTGTGGATTTGGGCTTTTGTTGCCATTGCTTTTGGTGTTTTAGTCATGAAGGCTTTGCCCATGCCTACGTCCTGAATGATATTGCCTGGGTTTTCTTCTAGGGTTTTTATGGTTTTAGGTCTTATGTTTAAGTCTTTAGTTCATCTTGAGTTAATTTTTGTATAAGGAGTGAGGAAGAAATCCAGTTTCAGCTTTGTGCATATGGATAGCCAGTTTTCCCAACATCATTGATTAAATAGGGAATCCTTTCCCCATTGCTTATTTTTGTCAGGTTTGTCAAAGATGGGATGGTAGTAGAGGTGTGGCATTATTTCTGAGACCTATGTACTGTTCCATTGGCCTATATCTCTTTTTGGTACCAGTACCATGCTGTTTTGATTATTTAGCCTTGTAGTATAGTTTGAAGTCAGGTAGTGTGATGCCTGCAGCTTTGTTTTTTTTTGTTTTTGTTTTTTGTTTTGTTTGGTTTTGCTTTTGCTTAGGATTTTCTTGGCTATGCAGGCTTTGTTGTTGTTGTTGTTGTTGTTGTTGTTGTTGTTGTTGTTGTTCCATATGAAATTTAAAGTAATTTTTCCAATTCTTTGAAGAAGTCAATGGTGGCTTGATGGGGATAGCATTGAATCTATAAATTACTTTAGGCAGTATGGCCATTTTCACGATATTTATTCTTCCTTACTATGAGCATGGAATGTTTTTCTATCTGTTTGTGTCCTCTCTTATTTGCTTGAGCAGTGGTTTGTAGTTCTCCTTGAAGAGGCCCATCACATCCCTTGTTAGTTGTATTCCTAGGCATTTTATTCTCTTTGTAGCAATTGTGAATGGGAGTTCACACATAATTTGGCTCTCTGTTGTTCTGTTATTGGCATATAGGCATACTTGTGATTTTTGCACATTGATTTTGTATCCTGAGACTTTGGTGAAGTTGCTCATCCGCTTAAGGAGGTTTTGGGTTATGACGATGGGGTCTCCTGTATATACAACCTATCATCTGCATACAGAGATAATTGGACTTGCTCTTTTCCTAATCGAATATCCGTTATCTCTATCTCTTGCCTGATTGTCGTTGCCAGAACTTCCGATACTATGTTGGATAGGAGTGGTGAGAAAGGGCATCCTTGTGTCATGCCGGTTTTCAAAGGGAATGCTTCCAGCTTTTGCGCATTCAGTATGATTATAAGCTGCGGGTTTGTCATGAATAGCTCTTACTATTTTGAGATACATTCCGTTGATACCTAGTTTATTGAGAGTTTTTGGCATGAAAATCGTTGAATTTTCTCGAAGGTCTTCTCTGCATCTATTGAGATAATCATATGGTTTCCAGTTCCACCCAGAACTTAAAGTATAATAAATAAATAATCATATGGTTTTTGTCTTTGGTTCTGTTTATGTGATAGATTACTTTTATTGATTTGTGAATGTTAAAACAGCCTTGCATCCCAGGGATGAAGCCGACGTGATCGTGGTGTATAAGCTTTTTGATGTACTGCTGGATTCAGTTTGCCAGTATTTTATTGAGGATTTTCGCATCGATGTTCATCAGGGATATTGGCCTGAAATTTTCTTTTTTTGTCGTGTGTCTACCAGGTTTTGATATCAGGATGATGTTGGCCTTATAAAATGAGTTAGGGTGGATTCCCTCTATTTCTATTCTTCAGAATAGATTCAGAAGGAATGATACCAGCTCCTCTTTGTACCTCTGACAGAATTTGACCGTGAAACCGTCTGGTCCTGAACTCTTTTCAGTTGCTAGGCTATTAATTGCTGTCTCAATTTCTGAACTCGTTATTGGTCTATTCAGGGATTCAACTTCTTCCTGGTTTAGTCTTGGGAGGGCGTAAGTGTCCGGGAATTTACCCATTTCTTCTAGGTTTTCTGGTTTATTTGCATACAAGTTTTTATAGTATTCTCTGATGGTAGTTTGTATTTCTGTGGGATCGTGGTGATATCCCCTTCATCATTTCTTATTGCATCTCTTTGATTCTTCTCTCTTTCCTTCTTTATTAGTCTAGCTAGCAGTCTATCTATTTTGTTGAGCTTTTCAAAAAATCATCTCCCGGATACACGGATTTTTTGAGGGTTTGTGTGTGTGTGTGTGTGTGTGTGTGTGTGTGTGTGTGTGTGTGCGCGCGCCTCTCTTTCCTTCAGTTCTGCTCTGATCTAAGTTATTTCTTGTCTTCTGCCAGCTTTTGAATTTGTTTTTTCTTGCTTCTCTAATTCTTTTAACTGTGACGTTAGGGTGTCGATTTTAGATCTTTCCTGCTTTCTCTTGTGGGTATTTAGTGCTATAAATTTCCCTCTACTCACTGCTTTAAATGTGTCCCAGAGATTCTGGTATGTTGTGTCTTTGTTCTCATTGGTTTCAGAGAACATTTTTATTTCTGCCTTCATTTCATTATTTATCCAGTAGTCATTCAGGAGCAGGTTGTTCAGTTTCTGTGTAGCTGAGCGGTTTTGAGTGAGTTTCCTAATCCTGAGTTCTAATTTGATTTCATTGTGGTCTGATAGTCTGTTACGATTTCTGTTCTTTTGCATTTGCTGAGGAGTGTTTTACATCCAATTATATGGTAAATTTTAGAATAAGTGTGATATGGTGCTGAGAAGAATGTATATTGTGTTGATTTGGGGTAGAGAGAGCTCTGTAGATGTTTTTTAGGTCCCCTTGGTCCAGTGCTGAGTTCAAGTCCTAGATATCTTTGTTAATTTTCTGTCTTGTTGATGTGTCTAATATTGACAGTGGGACGTTAAAGTCTCCCACTGTTATTGTGTGGCAGTCTAAGTCTCTTTGTAGGTCATTAAAAACTTGCTTTATGTATCTGGGTGCTCCTGTATTGGGTGAATATATATGTAGGATAGTTCACTCTTCCTGCTGCATTGATCCCTTTACCATTATGTAACGCCCTTCTTTGTCTCTTTTGATCTCGGTTGGTTTAGAGTCTTTTATCAGAGAGTAGGATTGCAACCCCTGCTTTTATTCTTTTTCTTTCCATTTGCTTGGCAAATATTCCTCCATCCCTTTATTTTGAGCCTATGTGTTAGTGTCTTTGCACATGAGGTGGGTCTCCTGAATACAACACACTGATGGGTCTTGACTCTTTATCCAATTTGCCAGTCTGTGTCTTTTAATTGGGGCATTTAGCCCATTTACTTTTGTGGTTAATATTGTTATGTGTCAATTTGATCCTGCCATTATGATGCTAGCTGGTTGTTTTGCCCGTTAGTTTATGTAGCTTCTTCATTGTGTCAGTGGTCTTTACTATTTGCTATGTTTTTGCAGTGGCTGGTACTGGCTGTTCCTGTCCATGCCTCATTCAGGAGCTCTTGTAAGGCAGGCCTGGTAGTGACAAAATCTCTCAGCATTTGCTTGGCTGTAAAGGATTTTATTTCTCCTTTGCTTGTGAAGCTTAGTTTGGCTGGATATGAAATTCTGGGCTGATAATTCTTTTCTTTAAAAATGTTGAATATTTGCCCCCACTCTCTTCTGGCTTGTAGGGTTTTCGCCGAGTGATCTGCTGTGAGCCTGATGGACTTCACTTTGTGAGTAACTGGACCTTTCTCTCTGGCTGACCTTAGCATTTTTTCCTTCATTTCAACCTGGGTGAATCTGACGATTGTGTGTCTTGGGGTTGCTCTTCTCAAGGAGTATCCTTGTGGCGTTCTCTGTATTTTCCAAATTTTAATGTTGGCCTGCCTTGCTAGGTTGGTGTTTTCCAACCTGGTTTCATTCCCCCCGTCACTTTCAGGTACACCGATCAAAGGTAGATTTGTTGTTTTCACATAATTCCGTATTTCTTGGAGGCTTAGCCCATTTCTTTTCACTCTTTTTTCTCTAATCTTGTCATCTCACTTTATTTCATTGAGTTGACCTTCAATCTCTCATATCCTTTCTTCCACTTGATCAATTCAGCCATGGGTACTTGTGTATGCTTCACGACATTCTCATGCTGTGTTTTTCAGCTCCATCAGGTCATTTTGTTCTTCTTTAAACTGGTTATTCAATTAGTTAGGAATTTGTCTAACCTTTTATCAAGGTTCTCAGTTTCCTTGCACTGGGTTAGAACACGCTCTTTTAGCTCAGAGGAGTTTGTTATTACCCACCTTCCAAAGCCTGCTTCTGTCAATTCATCAAACTCAAACTCATTCTTTGCCCAGTTTTGTTCCCTTGGTGGCAAGTCCTTGTGATCCCTTGAAGAAGAGGTTTTCTGGTTTTTGGAATTTTCAGCCTTATTGTGCTGGTTTTTCCTTGTCTTTGTGGATTTATCCATCTTTGGTCTCTGAAGTCAGTGACCTTTGGATGGGGTCTCTGAGTGAACGTCCTTTTTGTTGATGTTAAAACTATTCCTTTCTGTTTATTAGTTTTCCTTTAAGCAGTTAATGTCCTCTGCAACAGGTCTGCTGGAGTTTGCTGGAGATCCACTCCAGACCCTGCTTGTCTGGCTATCACCAGTGGAGGCTGCAGAACAGCAAAGATTGATGCCTGTTTCTTCTTCCAATAGCTTCGTCCCAGAGGGGCACCCACCATATGCCAACCAGAGCTCTTTTGTCTGAGATGTTTGTTGACCCCTGCTGGGAAGTGTCTCCCAATCAGAATACACAGGGGTCAGGGATCCACCTGAGGAGGCAGTCTGTCCCTTATCAGAGCTCAAACTCGGTGCCTGGGAGATCTGCTGCTCTCCTCAGAGCTGCCAGGCAGAGATGTTTATGTCTGCTGAAGCTGTGCCCACAACACCCCTTCCCCTAGGTGCTCTGTCCCAGGAAATTGGGGGCTTTATTTATAAGTCCCTGATGGGCTGCTGCCTTTTTTCACAGATGCCATACTCAGCAAGGCCACTGCAGGCAGACTGTCTCACTGGATTCTTTCTTCACCCAGTTTGAACTTTCTGGTGGCTTTGTCTACACTGCAAGGCTAAATCTGCCTACTGGAGCCTCAGCGATGTCAGAAGCTCCTCCCCCACCAAGCTCACATGCCTCAGGCCAAGCTCAGACTGCTGTGCTAGCTATGAGAATTTCAAGCCAGTGGATCTTAGCTTGCTGGTCTCTGTGGGGGTGGGACCCACTGAGCCAGACCACATGCTGCCTTGGCTTCAGCCCCCTTTCCAGAAGAGTTCACATTTCTGTCTGACTGGTATTCCAGGTGCCACTGGGGTACGGAAAAAAAAAACTGCTGTGGCTAGATCAGTGTCTACCCAAAAGGCCACCCCATTTTGTGCTGTAAACCCAGGGCCCTGGTGGTGGTGTAGGTACCGTAGGGAATCTCCTGGTCTGCGGTTGCAAAGACTGTGGGAAGAGCACAGTATCCATGCTGGAGTGCAGGGTACAGAATCTAATGGCTTCCCTTGGCTAGGAGAGGGAGTGTCCCGACCCCTTACACATCCTGGGTGAGGTGACGCTCGGCCCTGCTTCAGCTCACCCTCCTTGGGCTGCACCCACTGTTCAACCAGTCCCAGTGAGATGAACCAGGTACCTCAGTTGGAAATGCAGAAGTCACCTGCCTTCTGCATCAGTCTCACTGGGAGCTGCACATTGGAGCTGTTCTTATTCACTCATCTTTCCACCAATCCCCCTGTCGTTCTTTCTGGCAATTTTTTATACCTTTTGATCTTTAGATCTTCTACTGGTGACTCTAGTAACTTTAAGTGATATACTTAACTCTCAGTTACTAGCATACGCCTTCATCGCCTTTCCCATAAAATGAGTATGTTACGACCCTTTTCCCCTCCCTTAGCCTCTCCTCCTTCTTTCTGTATCCTCTTTTTTAAACTGACTGCTGATTACTTACATCCAATCCTGAAAACTTAATCGAATTACTTGGGCTTTGAAAAGCAACACAAGCCTTTTACCTTTTAATGGATCTCTAATAATGTTGGCCACAGGGCCACATTTCTTCGCAGTTTAGGGTGAACCACTAGAGGGAGGTTAATCCTGATATCAAGCGTGAATCCTCTTTTTTATTCTGGATTCCATGGACTCCTGAAAGGTCTGCCACTTTTGAAGTTTTTTTTTTTTTTTTTAAGTTTTTTTATTAAATTTTTTTTTTTTTTTTTTTTTTTGGTGGTACATAGCAAGTGTATACTTTTATGGGGTACATGAGATGTTTTGATAAAGGCATGCAACGTGAGACAAGCACGTCATGGAGAATGCAGTATCCATCCCCTCCAGCATTTATCCTTTGTGTTACAAGCCATCTTTTAGTCATTTTAAGATGTACCATTAAGTTGTTACTATGTTCATCCTGTTGTGCTGTCAATAGTATGCCTCATCCACTCTTTCTATTTTTGTTATGTACTCATTAACCACCCCACCTCCTTCCCCCCACACCCCACTACTTTTCCAGCTTCTGGTAACCATCTTTCTACTCTCTATGCCATGAATTCAACTGCTTTCATTTTTAGATTACACAAATAAGTGAGAACACACAATGTTTGCCTTTCTGTGCCTGGCTTATTTCACATAACATAATGATCTCCAGTTCCACCCATGTTGCTGCCAATGAGTGGATCTCATTCTTTTTTGTGGCTGAATATTACTCCATTGTGTATATGTACCATGTTTTCTTTACCCATTCATCTGTTGATGGACACTTAGGTTGCTTCCCAATCTTAGCTATTGTAAACAGTGCTGCAATAAACATAGGAATGCAGATACCGCTTTGCTTTACTGATTTCCTTTCTTCTCGGTGTGTACCCAACAGTGGGGTTGCTGGATCGTATGGAATCTCAACTTTTTGTTTTCTGAGGAACCTGCAAACTGCTCTCCATAGTGATTGTACTAATTTTTATTCCCACCAACAGTATACAAGGGTTCCCTTTTCTCCACAGCCTCACTAGTGTTTGTCATTGCCTGTCTTTTGGATGTAAGCCATTTTAATTGAGATGAGATGATATTTCACTGTAGTTTTGATTTACATTTCTCTAGTGGTCAATGATGTTGAGCACATTTTCATATGCCTCTTTGCCATTTGTATGTCTCCTTTTGAGAAATGTCTATTCAGATCTTTTGCCTGTTTTAATCTGATTATTAGATATTTTTCCTAAACAGTTGCTTGGGTTCATTACATCTTCTGGTTATTAATCCCTTCTCAGATGGATAGTTGGGAAATCCATTCTGCACGTTGTTTCTTCACTGTGTTGATTGTTTTCTTTGCACCCAAAGTTTTCTTGTAGTAGTTGCATAGTTTGAGGTCTTAGATTTAAGTATTTAATCCATTTTGATTTGATTTTTGTATATAGTGAGACATAGGGTATGGCTTCATTCTTCTGCCTATAGATAATCCAGTTTTCATAGCACCACTTATTGAAGACACTATCTATTCCCCAGTGTATGCTCTTACAACCTTGGTCAAAAATGGGTTCACTGTAAGTGTGTTGATTTATTTCTGGGTTCTCTAATCTGTTCAATTGGTGTATGTATCTGTTTATATGCCAGCACCATGTTGTTTTGATTACTCTAGCTCTGTAGTTTATAATTTGGAGTCAGGTAATGTGATTCCTCCAGGTTTGTCCTTTTCCTTAGGATAGCGTCAGCGATTCTGGGTCCTTTGTGGTTCCATAAACCTTTTAGGATTGTTTTCTCCATTTCTGAGAAGAATGCCATTGGTCTCTTGAAAGGGATTGCATTGAATCTGTAGCTTACTTTGGGTAGTATGGACATTTGAACAATACTGATTATTTCAATCCATGAGCATGAAATATGTTTTTTTTCTTCTTTTCTTTTTTTATTTTTTGGTGTCCTCTTTAACGTCCTTCATCAGTGTTTTACAGTTTTCATTACAGAGATCTTTCAATTATTTGATTAAGTTAATTCCTCAGTATTAATTTTTTGTGTGGCTCTTGTAAATGGAATAACTTTTAAAATTTCTTTTTCACATTGTTCACTGGTGGCATATAGAAATGCTACTGATTTTTTGCATGGTGATTTTGTATCCTGCAAGTTTACTGAATTTATCAGTTCTAATGGTTTTCTGGTGGAGTCTTTGGGTTTTTGCAAATATAAGATAATGTCATCAGCAAACAAGAATACGTTGATTTTTTACTTTTCTGTTTGGGTGCCCTTCATATCTTTCTCTTGTTTGATTGCTCTAGCTAGAACGTCCAGTACTATGTTGAATAACAGTGGTAAAAGTGGGCATCCTTGTCACATTCCAGATCCCAGAGAAAAGTCTGTTTTTCTCCATTCAGTGTGATAGTAGCTGTGGGTCTCTCATACATGGCTTTCATTTTGTTGAGGTATGTTTCTTTCATCCCCAGTTTTGTGAGGGTTTTTATCATGAAGGGATATTGAATTTTACCAAATACTTTTTCAACACCAATTCAAATGATCACATGATTTTTAACCTATATTCTGTTGAGATGATGATGTATCAAGGTCATTGATTTTCATATGTTGAATCATCCTTGCATCCCAGAGATAAACCTAACTTGGTCATGACTAATTACCTTTCTAATGTATTGTTGAATTCGACTTGCTAGTATTTTGTCGGGGATTTTTCATCAGTATCCATCAGAGATATTAGCCTATGTTTTTTGTTTTTTGTTTTTTTCCCCTGATGTGTCTTTTTCTAATTTGGGTATCAGGGTAATACTGGGCTTGTAGAATTAGTTTAAAAGTATTCCCTTCTCCTCTGTTTTTTGAGATAGCTTCAGTAGGATTGACATTAGTTATGGTGTAAGAAAGGGGTCCAGTTTTAATCTTCTGTATAGGGCTAGCCAGTTATCCCAGCACCATTTATTGCATAGGTAATCCTTTCCTCATTGCTTGTTTCTGTCTGCTTTGTTGAAGATTAGATGGTTTTAGGTGTGTGGCCTTATTTCTGGGCTCTCTATTCTATTCCGTTGGTCTATGTTTTTGTACCAGTACCAATCTCTTACTGTAGCCCTGTAGTATAGTTAGAGGTTGGGTGCCATGATGCCTCCAGCTTTGTCCTTTGTGTTTTTTTAATCATTGACTTGTCTATTTAGGCTCTTTGTGGGTTCCATATGAATTTTAAAACAATGTTCTCTAGTTCTGTGAAGAACATCAGTGGTAGCTTAATACGAATAGCGTTGAATACATAAATTACTTTGCGCAGTAGGGCCATTTTAATGATGCTGATTCTTCTTATCCATGACCATGGAATGTTTCTTCATTTGTTTACGTCATGTGTAATTTCTTTGAGCAGTGGTTTGCAGTTCTTTTTGTAGAGCTCTTTCACTTTTCTGATTACCTGTATTCCTAGGTATTTTATCCTTTCTGTGGCGATTATGAATGGGAGTTTGTTCCTGATTCGGCTCTTGTCTTGACTGTTGTTGGTGTATAGGAATGCTAGTGATTTTTGTGTGTTGGTTTTATATCCTGAGACTTTGCTGAAGTTGTTTATTAGCTTAAGAAGCTTTGGGGCTGAGACTATGGGGTTTTCTAGATAGAGGATCATGTCATCTGCACACAGGGATTATTTGACTTCCTCCCTTCCTATTTGGATGCTCTTTGTTTCTCTTGCCTCTCTGCTTTGGCCAGGACTTCCAATAACACGTTGAATCGGAGTGATGAGAGAGGGCATCCTTGTCCTGTGCCAGTTTTCAAGGGGATGTTTCCAGCTTTTGTACATTCAGTATGATGCTCCCTGTTGGTTTTCCGCAGATGTCTCTTAATATTTTGAAGTGTGTTCCTTCATTACCTAGTTTATCGAGAGATTTTAACATGAAGAGTTGTTGGATTTTATCAAAAGTCTTTCCCACATCTGTCGCGATGATCATGTTGGTTACATCTTTAGTTCTGTTTATATGATGAATTGCATTTATGAATTTGCACATGTTGAAACAACTTTGCATCCGAGACATAACGCCTAACTGATTGTGTTAAGTAAGCTTCTTGCTGTGTTGCTGGATTCAGTTTGCCAGTATTCTGTTAAAGATTTTTGCATCTATGTTCATCAAGGATATTGGCCTGAAGTTTCCTTTTCTGTATGTGTCCCTGCCACCTTTTGATATCGGGATGATGCCGGCCTCATAGAACGAGTTAGGGAGGAGTCGTTTCTTTCAAATTATTTGGAATAGTTTCTGCAGGAATGGTACCAGCTCTTTGTACATCTAGTAGAATTCAGCCATGAATCTGTCTTGTCCTGAACTTTCTTCTTCTTCTTGGGGGGTGGTAGGCTATATGATACAGACTCAATTTCCAGCTCATGGTTGGTCTGTTCAGGGATCCAATTTTTTTCCAGTTCAGTCTTGAAAGAGTGTACGTGTCCAGGAATTTATCCATCTCCTCTAGATTTTCTAGTTTGTGTGCATAGAGGTGTTCATAGTATGCTCTGATGGTTACTTTTATTTCCATGGGGTCAGTGTTAATATCCCTTTGCCATTTTTGATTGTGTATATTTGAGTCTTTGCTCTTTTCTTCTTTATTAGTCTTTATTAGTCTGTTGGCCTGTTTTATTAATTTAACAAAAAACAGCTCCTGGATTCGTTAATCTTTTGAATGGCATTTTGTGTCTCAGTCTCCTTTTGTTCAGTTCTGATTTTGATTACTTGTTGTCTTCTACTACTTTTAGGATTGGTTTGCTTTTGGTTCTCTAATCCTTTTAGTAGTGATGTTAGGTTGTTAAATTGAGATCTTTCTAACTTTTGAATGTGGGCATTTAGTGCTATAAATTTCCCTTTTAGCACTTCCGTAGCTGTGTCCCAAAGATTCCGATATGTTGCATCTTTTTTTCTCATTAGTTTCAAAAAACTTTTTGATGTTTGCCTTTATTTTGTTATTTACCCAAAAGTCATTCAGGAGCAAATTGTTCAACCTCCATGTAATCATACAATTTAGAGTGAATTTCTTTGTCTTGATTTCTAATTTGAATCTGCTGTGGTCAAAGAGATTGTTCTGATTTCAGTTCTTTTGCATTTGCTGAGGAGTGTTTTACTTCTGATTATGTGATCGATTGCAACCAGAAGAATGTACATTCTGTTGTTTTGGCATGGAGAGCTCTGCAGATGTCTATCAGGTTCATTTTATCCAGCACTGATTCAGGTCCTGAATATCTTTGTTAATTCTCTGTCTCTATGGTGTTTTTAATATTGTCAGTGGGGTGGATAAATCTCCCACTATTATTATGTGGGAGTCTAAGTCTCGTCGAAGGTCTCTAAGAACTTGCTGTATTAATCTGGGTGCTCCTGTGCTGGGTTCATATATGCTTAGCACAGTTAGATCCTCTTGTTGAATTGAACTCTTTATCATTACATAATGCCTTTCTTTGTCTTTTTTGATCTCTGTCGCTTTTAAGTCTTTTTTCTCAAACTAGGATTGCAACCTCTGCTTTTTCCTGTTTTCCATTTGCTTGGTAGATCTTTCTCTGTCCCTTTATTTTGAACCTATGTTTGTCATTGCATTTGAGATGGGTCTCTTAATGACAATGGGTCTTGGTTCTCTAACCGACTTGCCACTCTGTGCCTGTTAATTGGGGTGGTAAGCTCATTTACCTTCAAGGTTATTACTGATATGTGTGGATTTGATCCTGTCTTTGTGATGTTAGCTAGTTATTCTGCAGACTTGTCAATGTGGCTGTTTCATAGTGTCACTGGTCTGTGTACTTCAGTATATTTTTGTAGTGTTTGGTAATGGTCCTTCCTTTCCATATATGGTGCTTCCTTCATGAGCTCTTGTCAGGCATGTCTGGTGGTAACAAATACCCTCAGCATTTACTCGTTTGAAAAGGATCCTGTTTTCACACTCATCAAAATGGGTATTATTTAATTTTTTTTAAAAAAAAGCATATGCTGTTGAGGTGCAGAGAGTCAGAAACACTTATACACTGTTGGTGGGAATGTACATTAGTTCAACCATTGTGGACGACAGTGTGCTAATTCCTGGAAGACCCCAAAACAGAAATACTATTCAATCCAGCAATCACATTACTGGATATATACCCGAAGGAATATAAATTATTCTATCACAAAGACACGCACATGCATATGTTCATTGCAGCAACTTTCACAATAGCAAAGACATGAAATCAACCTAAATCCTCATCCATGGTATGCTGGATAAAGAAAATGTGGTACATATGCATCATGGAATATTATGCAGCCTTAAAAAAGAATGAGATTATCTCCTTGAGCTGGAGGCCATTATCCTTAGCAATGGGATGCCGGAACAGAAAACCAAATACGGCATGTTGTTACTTATTAGTGGGAGTTAAATGATGAGAACACATGGACACATTGAGGGAAACAACACACACTGGGGCCTATCAGAGGGTAGAGGTTGGGAGGAGTGAGAGGATCAAGAAAAAATAACTAATGAGTACCAGTCTTAATACATGGCTGATAAAAGAAACCCCCATGTCACAAGTTCAACTATCTAACAAACTAAAACAAACTGCATATGTAACTCTGAACATAAGATGAAAGTTAAATTTTTAAAATATTAAAAATTAATTAAGGTAGACAGGAGGACTAAGTGCAGGAGGTTTTTGTATGACACAACAACTATAGTTAATAACAATGCATTGTTTACTTAAAAATTACTGAAAGTACATTTTAAATATCACATAGTATGTGTGAGGCAATGAGTATTTTATTTCATTTGATGTGTATTTCACAATGTGTATGTATATTAAAATATCATATTGTATATTACATATATGTATAGTCAATTATATAGTTACTAAATTTTTAAAATTAAAATCAGTTAGTGTAATCCATCACTTCCACATGCCAAAGAAAAATTATGACTATGTTAACAGATGAAGAAAAAAGTATTTGACAAAGTCTAACTCTTATTCATGACCAAAACCCCAAACAATCAAGACATAGAGGATAACATCTCCATCTTGGTAAATAATGTCTTCAAAAAAATACAGCTAACATTATAGTCAATGGTGGGAAATTTGAAGGTTTCTTTCTAGAAACAGGAACAAAATAAGAATGTCCCTGCTCACCACTGCTTTCGACATTTTATTTGGTGTCTTAGATAATTCAATAAGACAATGAAAATATCAGTATACCAACTGAGAAGAAATAAATACAATTGTCTTTGTTCACAGATGACAAGATATATGTTAAAAAATTTTAAAAGAGTCAACAAAAAATATGTCTTGGAACTAGTAAATGATTATAATGAGGTTAAAGAATACAAGGTTAATGGCCAAGCACAGCGGCTCATACCTATAATCCTAGCACTTTGAGAGGTCAATGCAGGAGGATTATCTGAGGTCAGGAGTTCAAGACCAGCCTGGTGAACATGGCAAAACCCTGTCTCTACTAAAAATGCAAACAAAATTAGCCGAGTGCAGTGGCATGCACCTGTAATCCCAGCTACTCAGGTGGCTGAGGCAGGAGAATCACTTGAACCCGGGAGGCGGAGGTTTCAGTGAGCTGAGATTGTGCCACTGCACTCCAGTCTGAGTGACAGAGCGAGACTTTATCTCAAAGGAAAAAAAACACAAGGTTAATATGAAAAAATGTCAGTTGTTTTCCTATATACAAGAAATGAAGTGGAATTGTAATCTGCAGATGAATTTGTAGAGTAGTGTCATCTTAACATTATAAGTCTTTCAATTTAATAACATGCAATGTGGTTCAATTTATCTTCTTTAATATCTTTCAACAATGTTTCGTAGTTATCAGACTATAGGTTTGGCATTTCTTTTGTTAAGTGTATCAGTAAGTATTTTTTTCCCTCTGTGATGGCTATTATAAATAGAATTGTTTTAATTTCCTTTTTAGATTGCTCATTGCCATTATAGGAAAATAAAATTGATGTTTGTGTATTTAAAAAGACAAAATACCATTTACATTAGCATCCTCAAAATGAAATACCTAGGTATAAATATAACAAAATATATACAAGACCTATATTAGGAAAGCTACAGAACTGTGATGAAAGAAAGTAATGAACAACTAAATAATTGAATATGCCATTTATGTTATTTTATGTGTGTTGTTGGGTTGCCTCCCCTGTCTTACCTGACAAAGACACCTAAACCTAACTTCTCCCTGGGTCAGTGCTCTACTAGAGAGTATCTCCCTTGGTAGGAATAAACTGGACACAGGTCAGACAAAGCCACATGATGTCTACCAGTAAAAATAAGCTTTCTGTGAGAGGGACATCTGACCATGGTTCAGACACTTAAGAATTAGGCCATCCACCAGGATGAAGAAGTATCCTGTAAAAGATGTAATGTAAATATTCATGACCAAATACCTTGACGCCCTGACT